TTCCTTAACAAACAAGAAGCAAAATCTTTGTCCTGGCAAAACCTCTTTTTATTTTCATGACAGTGAATTTCTTTAATTAAACAGTCAGCAAGGCTTGGCAAACAGTCTTTCCAAGGAATATTTATTAACACAAACCTTATCTCGCTTGGAGAGCTGCCAGGTAACTAGTTTCCAAATGCAGGGCAAGGCAACACTTGGCACCGAGTCTCTTATAGTCACAAACAGAACTTTCCACTCTTCAAACAAATGAAGGAAGAAACTGTTTCCTGCAAAAGCCCCCTCCCCATTCTGCTCCTCTTTTGTTTTCTATTGGAGGGGCCAATCACCTTCAAGGTGTGACTTTACTCCTAAGTCGACCCTGCTTTCTTAATTGTTCTTGTCTCCTGGCAGCTCTGCACATGCACACACTGGGAACAGGGTCCAGCTGTTCCTCTGCCTCACTGTTGTCTAGCTCCCTCTCTGCCTCTGATGCAGAGCCCTCATCTCAGCCTCCAGGGCTGACCCATGTTCCTCCCCAACCTCCTCAATGTCCAACTCTGCTGCCAGCTCTGCTGGCTGCCGGCGGGCCACAACAGTTTCATTACCCAATTAAGTAACATCATCAGTGCTAGAAAGGGATAGCATTTCTAGCACAGATGCTGTTAGTAGTTGGGTATTTTTTTTCCTGCAAGGAAAGAACCAAGCTCAGATAGCTTGAGGGACCTCACAATGTAAAAAACACAGTTTTCCCACTCTTTGGACACTCACACACTGTGTGTGGGGGGGGGGGCGTGTGTCTTTGCCACCCCTTTATTATAGATTTTTAAATTGTTAGTAGCAGTCTGTTGGAATACAATGTACCAGCTGTAAATCAAGACAAAGATTTAAACTTAGGAACAAATAATTTCCGTTTAAAATAAAAATACAAAAACAAGAGAATAAAACCAGCACTTTACTTCCAACGTTCAAGGAGGAAAAAGAAAACAAACAAGATCTTAACAAGGAGTCTCACAAAGTTAAATCATTGTGCTTCAATGTTATTTTACACCTCGATCTGGTGAGCTGAACCTTCTACCAATTCATTCTCCAGATTGAAAGCGAAACATATTCATTTCATTCTGTTACATTGTGGGAAGAAATGTCCACCTGGGTTCAGTTCAAAATGGGGGAAAAGACACTGGATTCATGGAGACTGCTAGGAAGGATGGTTTTAATGGTGGACAGGATCACATGGTTTGAGGTCCTGGGCAAAAAGGGACATGGGAGGGAGGGAGGGAGATTTATACCCTCTGTTGGGCTTTGAATTTGAGCTTGTATTCCGATTGATTGTCATACTCCCACGGGGCCATGCAGGGGCAACTCTGTAGCTGTCCTGAGTCCTGGACTTGGTTGACTCTTGCTGGAAATCCTCCTATGGCTCTGTCTGAAGGAGGTAGATCTTTGTTATGTAGAATAGACTGGCCCAGGCCTTAATGGCCCATTGACAAAAGGGGAGGGGTTTAAGTTTCTGCCTCCCTTTTAGGGGAAATATTCTACCCTTTTAATATTTCCTAAAATACCTCATTTTCCTAGGAGAGGGATGGGTGCTAACATCCTTCAAAGTCTAGGCAACCCTAATTTGAATAATATTTAAGTCTAACTTTAAATCCTAGTTTCAGGCCTATCAAGTAAACATGGTTTGTTAAAAATGGAAGCAAAAGTTTCCTATCTCCTACTGATGGATACATGAAGAGGGAAGTGAAAGGCTCACAGAAAGGAAATATTTGAAACTGTAAAAATCACCCTTTGTACAGTAAGAACTCCAATAGATGCCATTCACTTTCTGTTTAAACATCTCCACTGAAAGCAAAACCATGACAATTAGGAAGACATTTTAAAGAATTATCCAGATTACATATCAGAAGGGCTAAAATTTAGATTTTTTTTCCTTTACACTCCTCAGTTTGCTTTGCTTTTGGGCAGGGGTCAGCAACCTTAAACACTCAAAGAGCCACAAACATCATAACTGGAAGCCCCCCCACTCCCGTTCAATTCTGGAGGTGACCGGAAGTCCGGTTCCCTCACCATAGAGTCTCCTCCTAGCGTGGTGTCCTTTTTTCTCTCCCCTAACTGGAAGCCCTATTGATTGTGAAGCTGACCAGAAAACCCGCCGCTTGTAGAGTCTCCCCCTCCTCCTGGCACACCTTGCTTCCCCCCCCCCCACCCAACCGGAAGTTCCTCTCAAAATTGTGGTGCCAACTGACAACAGGGAGCCACAGCCGAGGGATGAATGAGCCACATGTAGCTCCAGAGCCATGGGTTGCTGACTCCTGCTTTTGGGGTAACCTTAGTTTTTCTGATCTTTTGGGGGGTGTCTTAATTCTTCTTAGATACTTAATTCGCTGAAATATTCATTGCACTTGAAGTTTAAATCTGAGTATTGACATTGTAAATTATTTAATTCATTTAAAATAAATACATTCCCTGTTTTCAGGTTGGGGTTATGATTATTATTTTTTTAATCTTTTTATATTTTACTTGTACACCATTCAGAGTCCCTCTATGGGGCTGGGTGGCTTTTAAACTGAAATAGTAACTAATGAAATACATTATTTATAGATTTTTCCGTTTTATTTCATACCAATTGTTTGTTTTCCTTCCTTTTTTTATTTCAATACTTCAGGATACTAAAGTGGATTGCAGCTCTTGTGTAGAAACATTGGACAGAAAAGTAAGTCCCTCATTCTAATGACATTTTCTTGGTATATATTATTTTAAAAGGTTGTATTTTTTTAATGAACATTGCTGCTGTTTTCTTTTAAAATATTTCTGAAACTTATGAATATAAATGGGTCGTCTTTTAAATAGTTAATACGGAACATATAAATAGGGAGGCATATTTATATATATATATATGTGTGTGTGTGTGTGTGTGTGTGTGTGTGTGTGTGTGTGTGTGTGTGTGTGTGTGTGTTTTGGTGTATTCAGGTCTTTTCCCGTGTAAGGTTGAGAGTAAATATACGGAAACAAACAAGCAAACACACACACACACACACACACACACACACACATACAAATATGCCTCTCTATTTATAATATATGCCTATATAAAATAGATATATAGATATATATCTCCAAGACATTTGTGCATTTGGATCGAGTATAATTGAAAAGACTGATTCTGGGGAAATAAGTAAGAACTATTATTTAGCCGTGGTAGTGCAGTGGTTAGGAGGCAGTACTGCAGGGCCAACTCACTGCTCACTCCAGGAGTTCAATTCTGAATAGCTCAAGGTTGACTCAGCCTTCTGCTCTTTCAAGGTCAGTCAAATGAGGCCCCAGATTGTTGGGGACAATATGCTGACTCTGTAAATTGCTTAGAGAGGGCTGTAAAGCACAGTGAAATAGTATATAAGTCTAAATGCTATTGTGAGTGCTATTGCTATTATGTCTTGAACTTTGATTCTTTAGTTGAACCTAAAATTATTGTTGATTATTTCTATGACACACTGGAGAATAGTTATATCAATATTATAGTAGCAGATAACCTTATAATTGATGGTGATGATAGATAGACAGACAGACAGACACATAGACATATATGGATGGATGGATAGCTAGGTGGGTGGACGGGTGGGTGAGTGGATGGGTGGATAGACAGATGGACAGATAGACAGACAACCATATCTATTTTCTAAAAAAAAAAGTTCCTTTAGGTTTTTCTCTATAGTACTGCTTTTTGACACATGGATTTCCTGATCCGTTCCCTTCCTAGAACTCTTTCTAGATAACTTAATTGAGCCTATATTTATCTACTATATGCATAGTTTCACTTTTAAGTCTCTTGCAGAAGACATGTTTTTTTTAAACCCATATTGTCTCTCTGAAGATTTTTTTAAATGTTGGCTCTCTTAAACTTTGACTGCTCAACTATCTAAACATGTTTTTTGTAAACATGGTTGGTATGGAAATTTAGGGTATTGCTAACCAAGGTTAGCTTCAAAAGTGATGTTCAAGTTTGTCTGGTTAGCATAGAACCTTAATAAAGGAGTAAGGACTTGAGTTGGTTATAGCTTTGATGACATTATTGTATATCTAAATTTCTATGGAGATTCTCAGTCCTTCAAGTCATGGTTGTCCCAAAGGTGCTTTTTCAAGAGGAAACTGGACTTTCTGGTTTTTTCTTGAAAGTCATTTCACTTCTCATCCAAGAAGCATCTTCAAAGAAAAACCAGAAAGTCCAGTTGCCTCTTGAAAAAGCACTTTTGGGATACTGTATATCTGTTTGGAGAAAATTAATCTGGATAGCCTTGGTGCGCCTCTCAGTAACTATTAGCAACACCTGTGGGTCTCAGAAGCATGCTAATAGCATCTTGAAGAAGTACCAGTGTGCCTGTGATGTAACATCAACCAAAGGCATCATGGGAAACTGAAATTGCCCAAGCACTCTTCTTTCACTCTAGAAGAGCAACAATTGCCCAAGGATTCAAATAAAAATCTCACTTCTTTAGTACTGCTATAATGCACACATTTAAAACGTTCACTAGAAGTATGTATCATTTTTTTGAACCAAATTGTGCATATGGGAATGGTTGCTGTTGATGTATCTAATGGAGGTAGTAAATTTCTGCAACTAACTATCTGTACTTGTCCTGTTTGGTGTACCAGACAGGGGAAATGAATGGGAAGTTTGTTTTCATGGTGCTAAGTCCTCGTATCTGGTTTGAACCTAGGAAGGGACAGAAATATTTCCACAATAATAGGACGGAATGGGTGGCATTAATGTACATGTAACTAGTTGGAGACATTCATGAGCTGAAAAGGATGTTCACCCCAAAAATTGACATTCCTGGCTTTCATGCAGAGCCAAGAACAATCCTCTCCTCCCCTCACTTCTCATTTCCCCTTCTGCCCTCCCTCCCTCCTCCCTCAATCCCTTCCTCCTTCCCTTCCATTTCCTTCCCTTCTCACTTCCCCTTCCTCCATCCCTCCACCCCTCCCTCTGATCTTCCTTTTCTTCCTCCCTCCCTCCTTTCTCTTCCCGTCTCACTTCCCTTTCATCCCTTCATATCTCCCTCCCTCCCTTCATTCCTTAGTTCTTCCCTCCCTCCTTCCCTTCTCACATCTCCCTTTCCCTTCCTCCTTTCCTCTCTCTCCCCTCCCTCACTTCTCACTTCCCCTTCCTTCCTCCCTTTCTTCTCCTTCCTTTCCCCCTCCCTTCCTCCCTCCCTCCCTCCCTCTCCTCCCCTTCCCTTCTCGCTTCCTTTCTCTTCCCATTCCCTTTTACCTTCTCTTTTTATGCACCTTTTTATAGTGAAACTATTTCCAATTCTCATTTCTTTCGTCTCTGATCAGCAGTTTTCCTGCCTTTTATAGCTACAATAAAATTTGCCAGATATGACAGTAGAACATATTCTTTCTTCTACCTTTTTTTTTGTTAAATGCAATTTTCATTTCTCAGAGGTGATCAAGCGAGGTGTGGGCAGGGGGAGAAATTCTCTTATTGCAGCCAATTCCTTTCTCGTGATGAAACTTTTTCTAAAACAAGCCATCTATCTTTTTTACTCTCCTTTCCTCGAACAGCAATAGGAGTTCCACAGCTGCTCGGAATCCTTTTTTTTAAAACTCCCCTTCTCTTTCTGCCATTTCCCCCCCAGCCTTTTTAATCCAAAGCACGGCATCTGTACAAAATCATTAACAAAGATGTTTACTGCTCTACATAATTCAGCCCCCTCCATTTTGGTGAAATTTTAAGCAGGAGACATGGAGACAAAATTTCTTTCATGCCTTGAGTTTTCAGACAAACATTCAGCAAGGTACAAAATTGGCCATTGTACAATTTGTAAAATTGGCCATTTCAGCCTGAAGCCCAGCCTGAAATATCTCTCTGTACGATGGATAGCAAGTGATGTCTTTAGACAAAAAAAGAGCCTAGCAGTTAAACTGATATGAGAAGGAAGTGCCATCAAGATTCTTAACATCAGTGAATTAGAGAAGCAGCCTTACGTTATGGGCCAAGCTAAATCCTAACTCATTTCTGGAAGGTTTCAAAGTCTTAGAAATTGTTTCTGAAATGGCTTTTGATACTTTCTTCCACATCCTTGATTGAAACTTTGATTAGAGGGTGTGATACTTAACAAGAACCAAGTTGTTCCAGGAGTCACCCAGAAAAACAGAAAAGAAAGAAAAAGAAAGAAAGAAAGAAAGAGGGAAGGAAGAAAGAAGAGAGAGAGAAAGAGAGACAGAGAAAAAAGGAGACAGAGAGAAAGAAAGTGGCAGAGAAAAAAGATAGACAAACCAAAAGCAAGAAAGGAAAGGAAAGGAAAGGAAAAGACACAGGGAAAGAGACAGAGATAAATAAATACATAAAGGGAAGGAAGGAAGGAAAAAAGAAAAGAAATAAGGAAGGAAGGAAGAAGGAAGGAAGGAAGGAAAAAAGAAAGGAAGGAAGAAGGAAAGAAATGGTTTGTCTTAGAACCAAAGGATGAAATCCAGGAAGAATGAAGCACATGTAAGTTCTCCCTGATTTGAAATGCAAAGTGTCAACCGTCCCATTGGAATATGCAAAAAAAGAAACTGCTGGGACATCATTTTACCAAGAGTTTAACTTTACAGATAGACCTATGTAGGCACAGAAGAAGCAAAACCAATTCTAAAGGTTCCCGCAGAAAGTAGCATAGGGAAATTCCTCTTTTCCCCTTTAGGCCACCTCCTGCCCATTGTCCACAATCCAATGGATTCTTTTTAGAGAACTCTAAAAAGTTCTCATAACATGAAGTGTAGAAACTTTCTCAGGCTCAAGCCGGTTCCCTTGGCTCCCTCTGCCCCTCCCAACTTCCCCAAGAATTCCAACCCCTCCCTTCAGTTTCTCTTGTCAAGCGGTGAGAAGAATTTCAGGTGGCGATAGAATCCGAGTCAGACTTGACAGACAGATCAAAAAGTTGTCATTATTTGTCTTTCCATCCTACTGAGATTTATTGTTGAAATTAGAATCGTTTAGAACAGGAGTCCCCAATGTTTCGGATCTCAGGGACCACTAAATTCATAATTTGAAATCCCGCGGACCACTAATATGATCTGCCTAACAACCGGCTGTGTGAGCATGGCTACATGATCATGCGACTGGGTGGGCGTGGCCAACTATGTCACCCACGTCGAGGGGCACCTTGATGGCCTCTACTCACCCTTCCCCTCCCAACCACTCCTCACCTGCCCACCGGGGCTCCTTAGGGCCCCAACAGGAAGCAGCTGTTGGAGCTAAGGAGCCACCATGAGAAAGAGTTGGAAAAACATATGGCTCACTTCAAATTAGATCAGTCTGAGAAGGAGGCTCAGCAGAAGCACCTCACTGAGGACTACGAGCATAGGCTTTCCAAGCAGAGGGAAGACCTGTGGGAATGCAAGGCCAGGGACCAGCACCTGGAGGCTCAGTGGGACGAGATGGTCAGCCAGTTCCAGGCCATGATGTAGTCCCATTGGAAGGAGGCCCTCTGGTTCTTCGCCACCAGCAGCTCTTCCCTCCAGCCTTCACCTAACGCCCCGCAGGAGGCCAAATCAGACTCTAAGTTGGAATTTCTATCCCACCCTCCAACTCACACAAAAAGATCCTGAAGAGGGGAGACTCTCTGCAGCAACACAAATGTTCATTCATGTATTTATCCCAGGAGCCGTAGTTTGAGGACCCCTGATTTAGTGCAATATAAAAAAATGCAAACAATTTTTCCGTGGGCCATCAAAATTTTCTCACAGACCACCAGTGGTCCATGGACTACCAGTTGGTGACTGTTGACTTAGAAAGTCTAAACTGGGACAAATGCTGTTGAATGTATTTTGTCTCTCCCAATAAATAGAAACTTTGAAGTAATTTTCGTTCATCACACAAGTCAGCCAGATATTTAGACTGGATTTGGAATTTTTATTCACTTTTATTCATTCATTTTTATTCATTGGAAGACATCTAGTCCAACTCCCTGCTTGAGCAGCAGAGCAAGATACAATTTCTGACAGATGGCAGAAATGGCTCTTCTTGAAAGCTTCCAATGATGAAGCACCCACAACTTCTGAAAGCAAGCCATTCCACTGATCCATTGTTTTCACTGAAGTTTCTCCTTCGTTTCAGATTGCATCTCTCCTTGATTAATTTCTATCCATTGTTTCTTGTCCTGCCTTCTGGTGCTTTGGAGAATAGTTTGACTCCCTCTTCTTTGTGGCAGCCCCTCAAATGTTGGAACACTGCTATCATGTCACCCCTAGTCCTTCTTTTCACTAGTCTAGATTTACAAAATTCTTTCAACCATTCTTCATATGTTTTAGCTTCCAGCCTCCTGATCATCTTTGTTGCTCTTTTCTGCACTCTTTAATAAGTTTCATGATGATACATTTCATAAGTTTCATAATTTAACTTTCATAGGTTCCGTTATGTAATTATGCAGAGAGGTTAAATCTAGAAGTTTGGATTTACACCCCTGTTAATTAATTGTTTGGATAAAGTGATATATATTCTAACTCAACCTTCTCATGCATCCCAAATGGCCTCAGGGCCATGTGTTAAAGGTTAATGGACAGGAAAGGGTTAAGTCTACATTATTGCTAAAATGGTTGCAATATCTGATAGATGTAAAAATAACATGAACAATAATTCATTTTGTGGAGATAAGAGATAAACTTTGGTGACCTCTTATGCTTATTAAAGTGGATTATAAGATTTATATCAACTTGGACAAGTTTTATTTCTGGAACAGATAAGTGCCACAATTTGTCTCACAAAAATTATTTCCTCTGGTGCAGATAGTTTCTGGATCATTTTAGTATATTGGAAAAAAAAAGAGATTAGGCTGTTATTTGCTTAATTGTTTCTATTTTTACTATTTTATAACTTGTAATATCTGCTATAATTGTCACTGTGTTTAGTGTCTTACTCTGCACACTGTCATATAATTATTTCACATTGCATTATACTGTATTTTTGTACGATTTCTACAGTACACAATGTTATCATTATATATAATAATGATAGTCTCATAATATCCAGCTATAATAGACCCTCTTCCTGTGGTCCAACTAGTCACAAAGAGTTTGGTAGGCACTGATACAAACTTCTATATCGAAGGAGTAGCAGAATAAAAATTCTTCCGAGAAGCAAGTTCAGCAGGAACAAGAAATTTCAAAGGTTGCATCTCAAATCTTGTCCAAACATCGGATGTGTTTTTCCCCCCCTTCCTGAAAAAGAGAAGCGAGCAGCTATTGAAATCCATATTTGCACACCTGATCTATATATACCTTAGCATGCTATCCACTGTGGCTGAAGTTTGCTTTGCTCTCCCCTGCCTAGGTGTTTGATTAGTCTTCTTCTTCTTTGTTGAGCCAACATGGCTGTCAGGTGCCCTGACATTCTTGGCAGCGTCCCCCGGAGACCAGGACGAGGTGGGCCTCTAACGAGCTGCTGAGTGGCATAAGCTTTGTAGTGTAAGGTCATATACAGCATCACCTTCCCTTCTCCAGCTCGGGGAAAAGGAAAAAAAAAAGATTTGGTTGAGCATATCCTTTTGAGGTGCGTTTTGACAGAGGGAACATCACTTTTTTCATGCACAAGGCACTGTGGGCCCTGATGAGATCAAAAGCTGTACAGGGATGCAATAATGTGACAGGTCAGCTGAGTTCAGAAATCCTCCCCATTTTGTGTGTGTGTGTGTGTGTGTGTGTGTGTGTGTGTGTGTGTGTGTGTGATGTGATGTGAAACATTTCATCAGTTAGCACGATCTTCTCGGGGATACAATATGCACAGTTGCACTTGGAGCTCCTTGGCCTGCAATTAGGGATTTCTGTGGCAACAGCTGTCAAAGGGTTTAATCCCCTGAGGAAGGCAGATGATGAATTTTGAAGATACAGATGGGCAAAGAAGAAAAAAAAAAAGGAGACTGACCAAGGTCATACCATATGCCCACATCCAAACACCAAGTGTTTTTTTTTCTTTCAAAACTGCATTGCTCCTGATTTTAGATATTCTTTTCCTTTTGAGTATTGAGTTTAATTATTCTATATAAAGTTTCAGCTGGGTCGTATGGTATGGGATCTATTTATGCAGGAAATCGGATGGCAAAAAAACTTCACTTTACAGCTAATTGATGATGAGAGGAGAGCTCTAAGAGAAGACTTGAGAGAGAATTGGAGAATCGGTCATTTTGCTAAGCAGAGGGGCTAATTGTTCAGTGGGAGGTCAAGAGTGATTAATTAATTAATATTCTCCAAAGCACATGAGGGCAGGACAAGAAGTAATGGGTGGAAGATCATTAAAGAGAGAACCAACCTGGAACCAAGGAGAAATTTCCTGACAGTGACAACAATTAAGCACTGAAACACTGAAGCATAACTCTGAAAGTTGTGCTTGCTCCATCAAGGGAGGTTTTCAGGAAGAGATTAGACATTATTTTATTTAGAATGGAATGGAATAGAATAGAATAGAATAGAATAAAATGACAGAGTTGGAAGGGACCTTGGAGGTCTTCTAGTCCAACCCCCTGCTTAGGCAAGAAACCCTACACCACTTTTGAAAAATGGTTATCCAATCTCTTCTTAAAAACTTACAGTGTTGGAGCATTTACAACTTCTGGAGGCAAGTTGTTCCACAGATTAATTGTTCTAACTGTCTCACTTGTAGGTTTCTTGTTAGTTGAAACAACCCTACATACAGTACCAGTGTTGGAAGGGACCTTGGAGGTTTTCTAGTCCAACCCTCTGCTCAAGCAGGAAACCCTATACCATTTCAGACAGATGTTTGTCCAATCTATTCTTAAAAACCCTCAACTGATGGAAGCAAGTTGTTCCACTGATCAATTGTTTTAATTGTCAGGAAATTTGTCCTTAGTTCTAAGTTGCTTCTCTCCTTGATTACTTCTTGTCCTGCCTTCAGTTGCCTTGGAAAATAGCTTGACTCCCTCTTCTTTGTGACAGCTCCTGAGATATTGGAACACTGTTATCATGTCTCCTCCANGGGAAGCAGGGAGAGGTAGTTTTTGCCCTCCCAGAGGCTTGAGGAATCCCTCGGAGCTTGGGGAAGGTGAAAACTGCCCCCCACTGTAGTGCAGGAAGCTGACTAGGCCACGTCCATCATGGCCACGGCCACGGCCACCCAGCAACTGGGCAGAGAACCCGTTGCTCAAATTTTTGAAGCCCACCCCTGATCTGCTGTTCTGGTGGCATCACTCCTCCTTCCACCGGTCAGGTGTGAGAATGTCCTTGGTTCTCAAGAGAAAGCATTTTGTTTTGACTACACATCCCCAGCTATCTCTAATCCTCCCCTCCTTATCCCTTGCTCCACTGTGGCAACAATGAAGTTCCAAGATGGCTTCACTTTGGTCAGCTTCTGGGTTGACACCTATAATTATTCCTTCATTTGGGAATTTGAATACAAAGAAAAGTGATAGATTTTTTTCTTCCAAACACCCTTGTGCCATGTACCCTATCATCCCATCTACGATGTCCTTCCAGGGAACTCTGCATTAATTCATAGTCTTTAATTTTCTTAGCAGCGCACAGTTACACCAACAGTAACATTAACATTGAAGGGAGGATCTCCTTAGATTTTATTCTGTTTATCGCACCGTTGTTGCCTGGAGACACGCTAAAAATTTATTTATTTATTTCAGGCGCCCTCCAATTGAACGGCTTCTATTATTTAAATTGGCGGGAAAGCATTTATGTCAGCGAAGAACAAAACGGCGTTTCAGGTAGGAAGTTGCTTGGCTAAAACGACTCCTGTTTTAAGCATTCTTCATCCAGTGAGGAATTAAAACTCAAATGCGCGAGTAAATTACCTCTGGTTCCAAATAGGATGCCGCAAATGACATATTGCATTTCCAGGCACAATAAGCTGATGTGTGTTTTAACTGATAGGTTTCTACTCGCTTGCCATCCACAGATAATTGGAAGATGAATATGATTTTGGCAAAAAATCACAGCACACAGTATAAAATTGCTAAGCAGAAGGGGAGGAAAACTAATACGATGCTTGGTCAAAAGGAAAGAAAAAGAATGGAATGATTGCATATCTGCAAATATTGTGGTTATGCTTTACATAAATCATGCACATATTTAAGTAAGCCTTGCATGTTATGTAACTCTGCATTTCTTTTGGGGGCTGCAGCTGCTGCTAATTCTTTGGAAATTTA